TTTCCCCCCCCCCCCCACCCACCCATATTATGTTTTGATTCTCTGTACTTTGACCTTCAAAGAGTTCTGTCAGCCGTAACCCTGATATGTCAGGTCAGTGTGGATTCTAAAAGCAGCAGTCCTTGAATGATGTGTCCAGTCCCTAGTAGTAGATAGTATTAGCATCAGTCATGCTTTTTGTATTGGTGACAAAAATGGTTTGGGCTCTTCTGGCAACAGTTGAACACTGTGGCCCATTGTTGACAACCCCAACTTCAGGATTAGGACTCCCTGTGCAACCTTGATTTGCCACCTTGACTACACACTTTATGATATAATCTCCAGTTAAACAATTGAATGCTGCTTCTACTGAGCCACTACCTTATTCATGGCAGAAGATGGAGCAGTTCTGGGGATGAATTATGGTTGTCTATTTTTTAGGAATCTATTGTGTATAGGGCCACCCCTGTCCCATATGTTACAGAAGTTGGAAGATGCATAGTGAATAAAGTGCTGGATTGCAGAAAGAGAAAGGATTATGGACACATAGTTTAAGATAGGACAGAGCTAACCCATGCCAGCAACATACCAATGAACCAGGATAAACAGAACTACAGAGATTACTAGAAAACCAGCTATCATCTTTTTCCTTTTTATAGGACCCCTATGTTGACTGTTACACGATGTCCTCTATTAAGGAGAAGCTAGGTTATGACAGGGAGTCTCTTATTGGACTAGCAGTTCTTCTTGGTTGTGATTATCTTCCTAAGGTAAGGAAGCTGCAGATCAATTGCTGTTCACCATAAGCCAGTGGCTTATTTTTCTGGATGGTATAGTAAGAAAGACTTGAGCATGAATGATTACCAGGGATCATGGTTTTCTTTGTTTAAAAATTGTAAATTCTCTCATTTAAAAAAATAAAATCCGCAATTAAAATGGTGTGTGTGTATGTGTGTGTGTGTATGCAAATATCAATTGAACAGCATGTTTTATAGATATACAGTATAACCTCATAAATCCGGAATTCTTGAAAATCCAGCCCTTTTTAAAAATACGCTAAATCGGAGAGTAGTGGCGGTTTGTTGTGGTGCTGCTCTGGGACCAGAGTGGTGGCTGGTAGCAGCAGCCACCACGTGCAAGCTTCCCCCTGTGGACACGGTACAGGAAGCTTGCACACAGTGGTGGCCACCGCCATCCACCACCCTGCTCCATGTGTGGCCGCTACTCCGGGACCAGTCGCCACCCCCCCAGCACCTGGACACGAGGAAGCTTGCATAAGGCTAGTGCCACCATCCACCACCCCACACCGCTGCTCTGTGTGCAAGTGCTGCTCCGGGACCAGCTCCTGCTACCCTTCCCCACTGCTCTATGACCAGCCACCGTTCCAGTTTTGAAAATTCTGGATTTTTGAATTTCTGGCAGTTTCTCAGTCCTGAGCATGCTGGATTTATGAGGTTATGCTGTATTTACCATTTTAAAGGCATTTAGAAGCCTACCAGTGCCTTGATCACTATAATAAAATAAATTCTAAGTATCTATGAATTTTGATATTTGTTTTTGTGTCTTTTATCATGGAAAATCCCCCTGCCCCCTTTGCTCCCCAGGACAGAGGTCCAGGCCTCTCAGTCCCAAACCATAGCCCTCTATCTCTGCTGGTGGGGGGACCCCAACTTCCAGGGCTACAGGGCCAGGGACCTGGATCCACACCCCCCTACCCCCTGCAGCAGTGCCTGAGCCCTGGCTACCGACAGTGAGATGCAGCAGCTGGTGCAGTGGAGCAGAGTACGAAGTCTGGCTCCCCCTCCCACAAGGGCGGCAGAGCTGGAGCGGAGCCCATGGTGGGGTTTGGAGCGGATGTTGGCTTGGGCTCCCCACCCTGCTGCCATCCCCTCAAGACCTCCAGGGCCCAGTGGGCAGGACCCGGCAGAGCGTGGCCAGGTGAGGAAACTCATTGCCACTGCTAGGAGCCCCATGCTGCTGTGGTGAGGCACCCCTTGCCTGCCTAGCAGCAGCAGGGGGCACAACTCTGCTGCCACCCCCACTACTGCTGGAAGGGCAAGGGGTGTTTCACCAGGGTGATATGGGACTCCCAACAGCAAGGAGCTTCCCCACCCTGCCCCGCTGTACCCTGACATGCTGGGTCCCGCCCACTGGGCTGCAGAGGCCCTGGGGGGAAGGCAGCCAGGAGGGAAGCACAAGTCCATAGTGGGCAGCCCGTGTCCACCCCCTCCCTGCACACAAACCAACAGGGCACGTACCCCCCATGGCAGAAATGCTACTGTCTGTGTCCCTCTACAGAAATCTGTCTCTGCCATCGTGAGAGTCTGGTGCTGAATTCCTCAGGGCAGGGGATCTGCCTCCCTGCCTACATGACAAAAGCCTGGTGCCTCAGAGGCGGATGTAGGAGAGCTGGCATATGTTCTCCAAAGCATATTAAATCTTCAAAGCTCATGCTTAATATATTAGATCACATTGTTAGTCCATGCTATGTCTGAAATCATGCTAGTACCAAGCTTGTTTAAAATTTTGGAATACTGTTATATGGTTTTGGCAGGCACAATTGATATGAGAAGTTCCTTGTCCACACTTTTTGGAGAAATCTGTAATACGTGTTTCTGACCATAGTTGATGATTAGGGGTGCACCAATAAAGATTTTCTGGGCCAATACTGATGGCTGATTATTAACCAGCCATATAAGCCAGTACCGGTCCGTTTGCTGATATGCAGTCCGGTAACTTGGAGAGCAGTGTCCAGCTGGTAAGTCTGTTGGGGGAAAGGGGTGGGGAGGGGCAGATCAAGGCCCCCCCTGGTGAGGGAGGGAGGAAGTGGGGCTGGGGCAGAGGCAGGCGCTGCACAGCCAGAGCAGGGTGCAGGATGGAGCCATGGCTCTATCCAAGGGTGGGGCGGGAAGAAAAGGGGGATGGTTCCTGCCACTGTGTGCACCCCGGCTGGGGGAGGCATGGGGGCATATCCCCGCTTGATCTGTGCATGTGGCAAAGGTGGATTATTTTGGTGCTTTCAGGGCTGGAGGCTCTTCCAGCCTGTTTCCAGTGGGGGTGCTGGGCCTGGTCTGCACTCAGGGCTGGTGGGGGGTGGAGAGGGTGGTGGTTGCACTGGGAAGGGGGCTTGGGTGATTTTTTTTGGGGGGGTAGCTCCCCCCTATAGCTCTTTCTAGCCCAGCCCTCTGCCAGCAAGAGGCTGACACTGCCTTGGCCCTGAGCCTGCAGCAGCAACCCACCCTTGCCCTGTTGAAAGATCTGAGGGTCACATGCCCCCCATACCTCCCCCAGGATGCATACAGCAGAGGGACCCACTCCCTGGACAAGCTGCAGTTCTGTCCCACGTCCTGCCCCCACTGTGCATCATATGCCCCAGTCCTAGCCCCACTCCCTCTCCCTCCCTCACCGTGGGGGCCTTGATCTGCTCTCCCCCATGCCCCTTCCCTCCACAGACTTATCAGCTGGATGCTGCTCTCCAAGCTGCTGGGCTGCACTCCTGGCCGTGTGCATGCTGTGGCTGCGCACATGCATGCGGCATTTCTGGGTGACATTGACCACATCAGCCAAACAAAGCCGATTGCCAATAATGTTATTTGTCCTTTTATTGGTGCCAATCCGATATGGACCAGTGTATCAGTGCATCTCTATAGTTGATGGCATAGTTCTAAATGCAGTTTGGCCGCGACCCAGTTATAATGGGATTGTCTTAAAAAACATGTCTTTATATGGAAAATAGAGAGTCAGTTGTTTCACTGTGAAGAGCTATGGAAAAGCCTAATTGGTGCACTGGATTTGTGTGTAGTGTACATTCTAATGTTTCTTTGAAAATGTTGCTAGAATACATGTATTGTCTGTCAGCTGCAAAGGAAGTTAAGCGAACTGAAAATATTTACTTGTCTCAATATAGCAAAAGCTTTAACTTCAGCTCAGCTTTCTTTACGCATTTCTGCATACTTTGTCAATCACTTCACTATGAAGTAGTTAAGTCTTCCTGGAACTGGATTAATTTGTAATTCAGTTTACCACATTAAAATTAAGTCTGCCACTCCCATGCACTTGAATTATTTTAAATTTTTGTGTCTCCTTTTAAGCTGCTGAAATCCTGATGTTGAGAGTGTACTCAGGAGCAATGCAGAGACACATTCTTAAAATAGAGGGGAGCAGTAGGCAGTACATCTCTGAAAAGTGTTAAATACTTATACTGATACTTAGGACAGTGACTACTGCCAGATATAGGGGTTTTTAAAGGAACACTGTCTGTATGAATAATCTGAAACTAAGAAACCCAATTCACCTTTTTAAGACAAGTATGTCATCAAAACAACGGAAAATAGGAAGGAAGGTTGGTTTTGTTCTCAAGATGATGTTTGGAAGCTTTTGGGTGGTTCTCCAGAATCTTATTTGCTTTTTCTCTCTACTGTTTGTAAATATCTGACTGCTTCCTCATTTGTTTCTATTTGTTTTTCTGCTAGTTTTACTAGTGACACCCTTGCTATTAGCGGGGGGGAACATTCCTGTGAACTGTCACAACAATGGTGTATGAATGTGCTTTCAGCTAACTGTAAAAGGCATTGAAAAAATTAAAATTGATTGTGTGTCCTCATTTTACACTATCAGTCATTGAAATTGTTGCCTTTGGTGGCTTAATATGCTACCCTTCCCAACAGAAGGTTCAGGATGGCTTACAATAGAAGACAAAATAATTTTTATAAATTAGATAAAATATTAAATAAGATATATATGGTACAATAGAAACTTCCCAAAGAACTTAACTTTGCTTCCTAAATGCTTATCCAAATAAAAAGGCCCCGCAGTGCTCCTAGAAGATGCTCAGGCTCTGGCAACAAGGGGGAGGAAGTTTGAGAATGACCTACCATATATTTTGCCAAGTGATCTTGTTGCACTGATGATACTTGTAGGAGGTTGTTCTCAGCTGACCTCATGGATTAAAGTGGGACATAAGGTAGAAGACAGTCCCTTAAGTACATAGGTCCTAGATCATTCAAACCTTATAGGTCAAAGCCAGCACCTTGAATAGGGCATAGAAAGCTATCAGGAGCCGGTGCCGACTCTGGAGCACTGGAGTAATTGTCTCCTGGCACCTATCCCTGTCTGAAAGCAGGCCATTGCATTCTGCACCAGATATAGCATGTGAAAGGTCATCAGCACCATTCCCACATAGAGTGCATTGCAGTAGCCTAGCTTTGAGGTTATGAAAGTGGGGACAAAGGTGGCAAAATCTGACTGGCAAAATCTGACTGAAAGAAAGGGTTGCAGCCTTTAATCAGGTGATGTTTCTGGCCATCGCTATGACCTGAAGATTCAGGAGCAGCAAGAGGATCCAGGAGAACCCCAAGGATGTGAACCTGAGTGAAAAGGAAAGGCTAAACCCCATTCGTGATGTATGTCCCTGTCCCCCAACAAGTCATGAGGTTTGCCAAACAGCCATCACCTTTGTCTTGTATAAATTCAGCTTCAATTGGTTCACCTACTTCGTGGTGGGGCATTGGATAAGGACTGAGACAGTGTGAATCAGATCAGATGGGGTTGGGGGTGGGGCAGGGTCATCAGCATTTAAAGTTGCATTGTTATATAATTAAATCTAATGCATAACAATATTTTACATTTCTGTAAATTTTAAAACATGTCATGTTTTCCTCTCTCTAAAAGGGAGTTCCAGGAGTTGGAAAAGAGCAGGCATTAAAGTTACTTGAGACTTTACAAGGTCAAAGTTTACTGCAAAGGTAAAGTTTACCTTTTATATCTTGAAATATTTTAATTTTATTGGAACATAAGAGTTATCATACATTTTGAGTTTGACACTCTTACCCACACTTTAGTTTCCAAAAAAAAGTATCAAAAATGTAATATGAATAAATGTATGTGTACAAATGATGCATTCTGCCATGTAATTTTTTGAATTGCTTAAAACTGTATTGCTTCCTAGTCACTGATCCTGCAAAAAGTTGTAAATGTGTGTGGGATCCAACATATGAAAAATATCAGAGTCCTTTTTTATCAAGACCTTGGATATTAATATTTTCTTGTATGAATATTGTCTTAATGTGTGTCAAGCTAGAAATGCCAGTAACCTGACACGATACCAAAAAGAACATTTTATAGCAAGCAAACTGTAATGGAAAACTGTTTACTTCTAAAAGTGAATGAATACATGTTGTGATAATTTTGTTTCTGCGGGGGGAGAAGGACAGGGACATTGAATATGTAATTTTTGTATACATGTTCTGTACAGTATAACACTTGCACATTTAGAATATCTTTATTTTAGGTTTAATCAGTGGAAAGAGCAGTTTCAGTGTGGTGATACTCCATCTTTAGCTGTTAAAAAGGTGACTCATTGTTCTGTGTGTCGTCATCCAGGTCAGTGTATTTTTAAATATAACTAATGTGCTTGTGTCTATATATCCCCACACATTCAGTTTCTGAAACATGCTTTATTTCATTCTTCATTATTATTAGGATCACATAAGGAACATGAGCGCAGTGGATGTAAACTCTGTGGAAGTGTTATGTACTGTGAACCCCATGATGTTGAGTTCTGCTGCCCCTGCGAATGGCATCATTCAGAGCAAGAGAAGAAGGCAAACATGGTGGAGGACAATATCAAAAAGTAGGAATATCTTTAAAAAACAGTTAATCCATATTGCTTTCAGGTGCAGGGTAAGCATGCAAGTCTTGCATCATGCCCTTTTCTGTCCTGTTTCTAATGCATATATTTCACTTGTAGAAAAGCGAGAAGTTGTGAAGACTTTCCATTTTATGAGGTAACTAATAAGCCTGCTAAATGTTCTTTTTGAAGCACTAAATTGAAATTTCCTCTGATTTTCTTTAAATTACCCTCTTTTTTTCTTTTGCTTTCTTTCAAGGTTATCCAAGAATTTCTTGTCAACAAGAATAAATTGAGTAAGATAATGGAGTGGCAAAGGCCGAATTTATTAACTTTTCAGGTACAGAACAAAATACTGAAAATTTAACACTCTTATTTTTAATTTAGTAGTAAGCAACACACTTGACAATATAGATTTTAATTAGCTTTTATTTAAAGTAAGAATAAAGGAACCTGGTCACAACCTTAAATATACATGAGATCATAGGAACTGAGTATGTGGGGGCCCACGGGCCCTGGCCCCCCTTGGGATGAGGCCCTGAAATGGGAACATCAAGTTCCGGTCCTGGGCTGCATGACTCCGGAACAGCATTTGTCCCAGATTCCTGGTATCATGAAGGGACCCAGGTTTTCCATTCACTGTGGAAAAACATTGGAAACAGCAGGTTTCCCCTTGCAGGCTGGGAGAGTCCCAGCCTGCAAGAGGCTAGGGGGAATGGGACGCAGGGGGCACCATGTGCATGCACGGGCAGTGCGTAGGGGGTGCACATGGGTGCATGTGCACCCCCTGAGTGTGGCAGTGCCCCCCCTACAAAAAAAACGTGCGGGCGGTTGCTGCTTGCCGCGTGTCTGCGAGTGGTCTGCAATCCCTGCTGGCCGATGCTGCTGGGAGTGGCCGTGGGTGGTCACCGACCCTTGGTCAGCGCTCGCCACTCCCCTCTGACAACATTCAGGAACTGCCCTAAGTGAAATTGACTGTAAGTAAAAATAAAACTGTCTAGACACATTTCATTTTCAGGTTCAGAATTTCTAATGGCAATAAAAAGTTTAAATAAAGTAATTTGATTTTTAATATGTCAGTATTATTAAGCTAATATTGTTAGGAATCAAAGGTAGGATTTGCTTATATGCCTTAATTTGATAGCATCCCACATGGGCAATTTGTAAGATCTTAGTACTGAGCAGCATGTAGCATTCTGCTAAATAGGAATGGAGGCAGAAAGATCCATGGAACAAGAACATGATGGGGAGGAATGAGAATTTTGCTGGAAGTCATAAAGTAATAGAAAAAATATGCAAGTAAAGAAAAAGTAGGGATAACAGGCAGAAGACATGAGACTTCTCAAGAAAAAAAGGTAAGGATTTGATGGCAACTGCAGTAGTGTGGTACAATTGCCCTGGGTTAGAGGCGTCCACCTTGTGTGCTGTTAACTATTCTACTGAAAACCCTTACCTTTCAGGCACTGCAGGGATAAAGCTGCCACCAGGGGGAAAGTGTGGTAACGTTAATGTGTTAATCCATTGCAATGTGTGTTAAGATGCTAGAAACCACTTGACTTTCAATAAACCTGTATGGGTGTGGATAGACACAACAGAACAGTTAAATGCAGTTTAAAACGTAGGTGTCCAACTGTACAAGCCAGCTGAGAATGGTTCAAATCTTCTGAACGGTTTCAAAAGCAGACCTGAATAATCCAGTATTATTTTGAACCAGTATTCTGTGAAAAGATTCAGTATTACACATGGGCATCAAACTTTCTGTGTCTGGTGTCTGAATGGTCCTCCAGGCATCCCAAACCCTGCATGGAAGCTGACTGCTCTGGTACACAGCCAGATCTCTAGTGCTTCCACCTCTATTTCCTGCACTTAACCACAGTGTCCCTCTCCATCACTTTTAAAAAGCTGGTCAGTTTCCTTCTGTTGGTGGCAATTGACCAACGTTCTACATATCCCAAGCTTATTTGGGGTGGCATGTAGGAGTAGTTAGGTTGAAGGGTTTCCTGGACCCTTGATTCTGGGTGCTGAGGGCTTAGGGACAACTCTCTGCTGCTTTTAAAGAGCTGGTCAACTTTGGTGGTGGCAGAGTCTTTGGGAAAGCCACCAGAGTCCCTGGGCACACAGAAACAGGGTTTAGAACCATATCTTTAGAAGTGGTAAACATCCTTCCCCCAGGCACAGAAGCAAGGGTTGAAGCAACACCTCCACCCCCAAATCAGTCTGGGATGTACTGAACACAACACTGGTCAGTTTCCAGGAATTGAAATCAATTCATGCCTCCCACTCTTTTTTCACTCAACCCCCTGTAAAATGCAGACACCTAGGCATTACCAGCCAGGGTACCATGACAGATTTTGTAGGGGGCAAAAATAGGTCTTCATTGAACGCAATGTTAGTTAGAAGGGCAAGCAGAATATTGCACAGTCGCAGCCCCGAGTGGTGGTTTGATGACACTGCAATACCTAAAGGGTGACCAACCTATTTCAAACGCTTAGCAGTGTACATGTGGACACCTCTGACCTAGGACAACTGTGAACCGCCTTCTAGTTAGTGAGATTGGAATGGCTCAAATGTTATGTCTGTTCATGCCCTATGATTCTTGATGTTGTGTCACTTCTCTGATTCTTAAATCCATAACTTTGAACTGTTGAGCTAGCCTGAATACTCACAGCCTACTAATTACTCCTCATCTATACATTAATCAAACTCAAGGACATGTTAACTCATTTCTAGTGAAACAAAAGGCAACATTATTAGCTGGAAAAAGGTTACTTTAAAGTGTATTTCTTTGAAAACTCTGGCTAACACACTTGAAAGGAATCATTTTTGTAGAAAAATGTAGGATGCTAATCTCTGAATAGATTAGCCCTTTCTGCCTCAAGCAGATCTTGATCTTCTCCAGCCTGATGTAGAATTCTAATTACCAAAATCACCCAGAGCAATGATGTGACTATGTAGGTTCTGCTTCCTTAAAAACTCAGGTCACATGGATTCTGTTTTGGTGTGGAGGTAAGATCACATCCTGAGGAAAAAGTTTAGGGTGTACCTTCTCCGGGCAGGCAATAATTTGTTTTGATGATCCACATTCTGAGACTAATGACATTGTTTATGAGACTGGTATATAGCTGATGAAGTACTTCAGGAACAGCATGGTATGACACAAACATATGCATGAGAAGTAGGGAAGAATAATATGCAGTTCTCAAGCTCCCTAATGGCATTGACCTGAATCTGATGAGAAAATGTTTAGTAGTCCTTCAGTCCAGCTGCTGCCATCTCACAGCTGCTCCTGTAGTTCACAGTTGATGGGTCTTATAAATCTGCCCCAAGATAGATGTCCATTGTTCTATCTATCTATCTTTTTTTTTTTTTGCAATGGCAGGTCATTAGTATCTTACCATAAGATGGAAGTTATACTGATGTACAAAATGTAAGATATGGTATTTAGTAAGTCGCTTTTTGACAGTTGTATGCAGAGAAGACCAATAGCAATGAATAAAAATTAAAGCATACTAAAAGTATATTTTTACATTTAATAGACATTTGCTTTTGAAAAGATGGAATGGACCAGACATTATGCTTGTAAGAAACTGCTAGCACTGTTGACACACTATGATATGGTCAAAAGAAAGTCTGGACAAACAGATTCAAATCAGCTGCAAGCAATACGGTAAGCTTCTTGAATTCACTCTTTTTTTTTTTTTTTTTTTTTTTTTCTCTCTCTATTCTATTATTAATGAAAATTAATAGATCTTTTTCACCCCTGCTCTCAACCATATATTACCTCCTAGATAAAGGAAAGAGTTTAAATCAAGAGCTGAATATCTAACTACTGCTCCACAGGAACATGTGTACATTCCCTTCAGTGCTAGTTAAAAGGTCCTGACCTTTTTTGCACCGTTCCTCTACAATAGCCCCATCTATTTTGGTGAGACTACATTCGAGATTTAGCATTTTGTAGAGGTGCACATACATTGGTCCATATGGTATCTGCACTGATTAAAAGGAAAATTGAAATTATTGGCAATTGGCTATTTTGGCTGATGCGGGCAATAATGTCACAGATAAATGCCACATGCACGTGCGCAGCTGCAGCATGCACGTAGCCAGGAGTACAGCCCAGCAGCATGGAAAGCAGTGCCTGGCCAGTAAGTCTGTGGGGGTGGGGGGCAGATCGAGGCCTCCATGGTGAAGATGGGGCAAGAGTAGGCACTGCCCAGCCAAGGCCTGGCCCAGGACAGAGCCGCAGATAGCTTGCCGGGAGGGGGGGAGGGGGCAGCTTCTGCTGCTGTGCACATCCCTGGGGGAGGCGTGGGGGGCATGTGCCCCCCAGATTTGTGCATGGGGTGAGAATGGGTTAGGGATGCACCAGCCTCTTCCTGGGCTGGAGCTGAGCTCTGGGAGGGGGCCTACAGGGTGGCTACAGCGAGTTTTGGGATGGCTGCAATCCCACCTGTAACCCTCCCTCCCAGTGCTGCTGCCACCACCTGCCCTGAGCGCAGGCCCGGCCCAGGCCCTCCCACCAGGAAGAGGCTGCAGCAGGCATCCAGCTCTCGCCCTGCACACACATCCGAGGGGCGCATGCCTCCTGTGCCTCCTCCTAGTGGGTGCCCAGCATGAGGAGCTGCCCCCCTCCCCACCCCGCCACCTCCATGCTCTCCGGACGAGCTGCCTGCAGCTCCATCCTGCGCCCTGCCCCAGCTGGGCAGTGCTTGCCCCTGCCCCACTTCCTCCCTCGGTCCGTCTGTCCCTCCCTCCTTCATTGTGTGGTCCTTGATCTGACCCCCCCCA